ATAAAGTTTAAACAATCACAAGTCTATGTTTATTTCTTGTCCTGGTCAATTTGCATTATTTCATGTACAGGGCAGGGGAAATAAAAACAGAATTTGTTTTAAAAAACACTAACAACATCACAATAGAACCAGGAGTATGTTAAACTTTTTTCATAGTCTTACTTCTCTACTAATATATTTGAAAAATCATGCCCCTCCATGCCCATGCTCCCCAAACCACTGTGCCCTCCGCAAAGTCTTACATATAACTCGGTCTTTTAAAAGGAAACTAATATATAAGTTGGAAATGTTCACAGGTGACTGAATTATCTCTTCTCCAAATGTGTGTTCTGCATATGTCAATGGGAAATGTTACAATCAGATTTTTAAATAGAGGAATAATAATTTATAGATATTTAGCATTCCAAAGTGAGAAGTGTTAGTAAATAGCTTATCTATAATAAGCAAGAGAGTTTCAGCAAGGAAAAAAGTTGAAACGTATAGGCTCAACATGCTTTTCATGTACTATAATATTGTTTAAACACTTGGAAAAAATAAAAATTTTAAATTTTAACAAAATTTAAAAAGGATTAAAACATAATTCACTGTCTTCTATATGTTCCTCCAAAACTTTTAAAGCTTTAGAGTCAGGAAAGAAATAGTAACAAGCACCATGGATGTCATGCCTACATACTCCTGAAATAGCCAAAGAGATAGTAAAATCCATACCAAAGCTAGCATTTTGACCTCACCATATCAAACAACAGGCCTAGTATTTTATATTCAACAATACCACTGTCTTTTTCACTGACCAAATTTAAATAACCAAATGTATTTTCCTCATGCTGAATATCTAGAATTCTTCCTGAAAACTTGTCATATGCATCTATCATCCCACTTCTTGTGTACAATATGCCTTTGAACAACTTCCCCTGCACTATATTGTTGTGCTGAACTCTACTGAAGTAGAGTCATATCAATAAATTCATTCACTATTATTTGTTCAAAATATACTTTTAAAAGTATTTTAAATTTATCCTTTCAAAAATGGACTGACTGTACACAAGCATGTGACCCCTGAGTCTGTAGCAGTGAAGTCTTTGCTAGAGCAATTGATAGCTTGGATATAGTTTTTGGTTATATATTCTTCAAGCCTGAGTATTTCTCTCCTGGAATTTCAGTGTTTTAATAAATTCCTTTTCTACTTAAGAAAAAAGAATGGAAAGTAATACAAGACTCTTAAATGGACAAATACTATTCTGCTATAACAAAAATCACAAAATAATTCCATCAAAGCATTTGCCAAGGTAGAATAGGGGTCATCCCAAAGGTTCTCTTCAGTCACCTCACTACGTGGCCATCTCCAGTCACTAAATGACGGTTCAATTTGCATCTAATTTTCAGAAACACCTCTGTTAACAAGTTTAATCAGGGCTAATGTAACAAAACAAAAGCCAAATAATTGTTTTTCTCTACACTGAAACAGACATCTAAAAAACACAACAATTTCAATACAGCAGACAATTTTTATGTGTTAGGAATATCTACAAAGTTTCCTACAGAGTGAAAAATTTCAGAGGAAATCCTTGCTATTAGTCTTCCTGATTTACTTGCACTAAATGAAGGCTACTCTTAGTACATTTAAACTGCATTTCAGTACTCATGTTGCATGGTGTTTCAATGATACCACCGCATATGAAAATGGCATCATGTCTCTGCAAGCCCTTGAGTGTATTCTGAGACAAACTCTGTCCCCAATCTTGTCTAATTAATCAACTGAAAAAACTAAGAATCTGGATTGTTTTCCCTCTAAAATTTCAAGTGAAACTGTTTCTAAAATAATTGGGGATTTTCAATGATTATTAGAATAATTTCAGGAGTAAAGTCATAAAGATTGTTAAAACACTATTTTTTAAAAAATAAGCTGCTTTTAAACACGTTTAAGTAGAAGCATTACTCTAAAAAGGCACTTGCAGAATTGTAGTCTATCATTACTTTCTCTTACTATTTACTAACAGTTATTTTAGAAAATGTTGTATTGAACTATATTGGAGTAGAGTCATATCAATAAATTCAAAAACCCTTTGGCAAATAGATTAGGTGATCTACTTTTTGATAATAGAGTAGAATTCATCATTGTCTACCACTTAGTACAAACACCAAAAAATGTGAAACAGAAAAAATAAAAAGTGTGTGGCTGTCGGCAAAGCCAAGACAAATTTGAAAACTAAAAAACATCAGATCTCTTGGCAATGGAGAGTAGTTTCATATTCCAGCTGGATATATTACTTAATGAAAGACCCTATCATACTCCACAGACAATATAGATAGTTGCAATCATCACCAAAGAAATTCTAAACCAACAGTAGAGGCAAAGAGGATATTTAATTGGGATACTGAAGCCTCTGTGCCTGTAAGAGCAGGCTTCTTCAAGGCCCCCTTCAGAAACAGCATGTAGTATACACCATGAGAGCCTCCATTTTCAGCTCAGTATCACACATGAACATTCACCTTAGGATAGGTCACACCATTACACTACAAAAATAAGTTACCTTCAAGGCACAATGGTTCTCATCAGAAATGATTTCATTATCAAATTAGTAAATTTAGCCATTTACTTTGTAATAGAAAATTCATAATATAACATCAAACATATTTATCACAACCAGAATGGTCTTCACTAAGGCCCACCTGTTGCGCCCAGAGTCTCGGAAGCCTTTAGCAAATGGATTCCTATCTATCTTCAGGCGAGTAATCTGCAGAGTAGGAAAAAAAAAGTCAAATCTTACATAAATGTCAAGTAAGGTTCTTTCTTGATTGCAGAACTACAATAACTCAAAAATTAACTGTTAGAGGACTCTATTGTATGCCCCTCTTTCATTCCTCAAGTTTTTAAAGATCCTAGCAGTAAAGCAAAAGAAAATTTCAGAAATCATCTAGAACATTCATCTGCTATAAAAAAGATACTTCATTCTTTTTCAATCTGCATTAATAGATATAAATTTGTTTTGTTTTTAATATTCCTGGAAAAGGAGATTCTGAATCACCCTTTGGTAACTTGCCCTATATTTGACAATGCCCTGTGAACTGAAGTTCTTCCCTTTAACTCTGAGACATGGTTTAATCCTGTTTATCTCTCAATAAAGGTAATCAGGAGTAACTCCTTTTCAACTTCTATTCAACAGCCATTTAAATGTTAAGCTCCTACACTGCTTTCTCTTCTTCAAAATTAGGTAATAATATACACACCCCTTTAATTTTCTGCCTCTGTGTTTTTCTTTGTCTCTCCTTTAATATTCTTTGTGGCTCTTATATGAAAGTCTTATTCTTTTATCTGTGGAGTCCTACCCTAGTCAGAGCACTACAGTGAATGTCCAACCAGAGGTAACCACTACTTGAAGGTTCTAATGATATCAAATCTCATACTACATGGAATAAAAATAAATTATGCTTTAATTTTATTTTTAACTTTCCTTCAAAATAAACTGTATTGTGTTATATTGAGGTATACAACATACTATGAGATATGTAGGTAGTGAAATGGTTCCTATATTTGATGCTTTAGTTTTAACAGGAGTTCTAATTTGTTGACTGATAACCAGCTTTTCGCCCACTAAGACACCAAGAGTTAGGGGGAAATTTTTTACAAATGATTTAATCATCTCCATTAATAGTTTTTTTGTTTGTTAGTTGTTTTTTTAGTTATGCCATCCTGAATTCGACACTAATAAATAACATCCCATCTGTTTACATATACCAGATCTATATGTTGCTCACAGGAATTTACAGCCTATTTTCTAAGAGATACATCATGTTTTGCCTTCTAAATTCCTGGGCTTAATGAACTCTACAAAGTTAATGAACATACTTCTAATTGCACCATCTTGGCTAAGGACGAAAACTGTTGGATAAAAGACATCTGCAGTTCCCCTGCATTGCCTGTGCACACTCTCCAATCGGCCACGCAACACTTAAGACACATGTGTTCCATATGATGTTATCTTAGTATGTGGATAAAACTACATTATAAATGATATAATGAAAGGGTTTGCTAATTAAGTCATCATGTCTGCCACTCTGTCATTGAAGGAATTCTTCTTTACAGGTCAATACAGCTCAATTTTCTGTTTATAAAAATAATGTTTAAGAAACATTAAGCAGTGTAAATGTTCATTTAAAATATTGTTTTTAAAAAAGTACAGATTTATATAATTATGCCTTGTCAAAACAAAGATATAACACAATTACTATCATTATTTGTATTACTAACATATGTATTGAGTGCATAAAATGTACACTGTGCTAAGTTTTATGCATACTACTCATTTAATTACTAGAGCAACTCATATATAGCTATTGTCTCAGTTCTGTGTTTTATTTTAAACTGAAGCTTAAGTAACCCAAACCCACAGGCTGCAGAGCTCATGCTATTAACCACTCATCTGCTTACGACGTTCCATAAGTTCTTAAAAACAGTTGCCAGGAAACTAAAAAGTAAATATGATTGCATTTTACCATTATCAATTTCCCCTCTAATCTGCTCACCATCTTAATCAACTCCTCAATGTTCACTAATTAGTGTTAGTCACAACATATGCCAAAAGCTGAATGCATTGCACTTACTGTACCACAGAGGATGGAAGAAAATACACAAAGAGCACAGTTAATTCTTGTGTGACAGTGAGACAAAAAGAGGAGATGGAAAAAGAGAGAGACGATGAATTGAGATTGTTAAAAGGATACTAAGCGCCTCTGCTATTTTCTCCTCATGCATTGCTTTTTCTCCCCAAAAATCATTCTCTGCTCCTAATATGTTTAAACATATTAAATATATAATTATAATATATTTAATATAATTATATTTAATGTATTACATATTATATAGCATATTATACAATTTATATATTTGTAATATTTGTAATTTTAACATATTTAATATAAAATTGTAAATATATTATATTAAATATATAATTATAAATATATCATACATTAAGTATATTAAATATATTGTGCTCACTTTGGCACAATATACTATATTGTGCACATATACTAAACTGGAACAACACAGAGAAGATTAGCGTGGCCCCTGCACAAGGATGACACATAAATTCATGAAGCATTCCATAAATATATATATAACATTAAATATATTTCAATATATTGTTAAATATATTAAACATATTTTACATAGCATTAAAAATATTAATATATTTGGTAATATATTAATAAATATACATTAAATATATTTTAATATATTATTAAATATATATTAATATATTTTAATATATTATTAAATATATTATCTCTGGACCTTCTAAAACTTACATTTCCTGTTCCTTCCTAAAAGTTTATAAAAGAGTGGCAACATAAGTGTGAGAGGACAGAACAGCTTCAGTTGTGGGACTGATGTCTCCATACCGATGAGTTATTGAGCCTCTCGGCCCAAAGAACACGTGGGCTAGGATCCAAATTTTCTAAGAAGCTTTATAACAACAGAAACCACAATAGAGAGATTAAAAAGCTTTAAATTTGTAATTGAAATGTATATAAATGTAAAGAGAAATGGAGACCTAAAACAATTCTGCTGACCACTGAAATAATAATAATTTTTAAAAATCTACCACAGACCACATTGGCTTACATTACATGGATATTTCTTGAAACTGGCTGGAATTCCACCATGGATTATATATTGCCTCTGATTCAATTCTCCACCTAACTGACACATATAGACATAGCCTTAGATAAATATATATGTTTACCCACATAGAAAAGAAACATTTCCCTTCTCAAATTATTTCTAACTTTATGAAATGCTTATTCTACCATTGCTGATCTCTCATACTACAAGCATGTTTGTCATCCTCTATCACAATTAAAGCCTATCTTGAAAGAAACAGCCCTTTTGTATATGTACCAAAATGACTCTAGAGGTTGAATTCTTCTGAAATATTTTTAGACTGTGGTTTTGAAATAAAGTGACTTATCAAGTCTTATGCTCTATTATACAATTCATTTTTAATGTTTTACATGTCTATTTTCTAGGCAATACAAACACATTGTAATTTTAGTTATGATATCATAATTTCATAGCTCAAAATAGAAAGTAAACCTACACTGTCAGTCACAAGACATGGTTTGTTGTCATCATTAGAGTGGCCTTACTTGGGGAATCATGGATAAAGAACTGTTGTTCATATATATATATATATATATATATATATATATATATATACACACACACACACACACACACACACACACACACACACACACATTGAATGGCATATATGGCAAATGCTTTATTCATAACATTGAGAATGAGAATGACAGCTAACTTCCTTTCTTCCCCTGAAATGAAAGTCTACAAAGATACCAATTCTGAGAATAATACCTGCTGATTCTGATAGGCAGTGACAGTTGTGAAGACAGTTTCTGGAAAGGAGAATGCCTTTACTCCCTCCCCAGATGGAACAGGCTTGATGGGAGAAAGATCGTCTCCACAGTCTTTACGGATGACGTGCACTCGCGGTTGGTATTTGTGCATAGAATGAAGAATAATCTATATCAAATAAGGAAAAGGCAAATTTATCAGGAGCCTCTGCCCAATCTCAACACCATGACTAAATATTTAATGTGTACAATCAATTCTGATTGGTAATTATTTCCAAGGATGCAGAGGTATCAATTTAGTAAGATACATCAGAACTAGAGAGGAAAGGCTAAGAAGTTATTTGTAAAATGTACATAAGAATACAAAATAAAAAGGCCGGGCGCCGTGGCTCACGCCTATAATCCCAGCACTTTGGGAGGCCGAGGCGGGTGGATCACAAGGTCACGAGATCAAGACCATCCTGGTCAACATGGTAAAACCCCGTCTCTACTAAAAATACAAAAATTAGCTGGGCATGGTGGCGGATGCCTGTAGTCCCAGTTACTCGGGAGGCTGAGGCAGGAGAATTGCTTGAACCCAGGAGGCGGAGGTTGCGGTGAGCCGAGATCGCGCCATTGCACTCCAGCCTGGGTAACAAGAGCGAAACTCCGTCTCAAAAAAAAAAAAAAAAAAGAATATAAAAAGCACTATTTTAGTGAAACTCTCTGTGCAACCATGTGAACTCAACAACAAATTTTCTATTGCTAAAGCCACAGGAATAAATTAATACACATTTTATTTATAATGAGCCCAACGGAACACCAGAGTCCAAACCAATAAAACTACAAATGAGACTGAAATCATTATTTAAATTGCACCACACCCATCCCCTAAAAAACAAGCATTCGCAGACAAGGTTTTTTTCAGTGGAAATTTTTTTCCCAATTCGTGACTACATATGTCTATTCAAGGGCAAAGAGAATTTTAAGGACACTCCAGCATCTGTTTTTTTGTATGGCTCACAAAGTCTCTGGTTTGCTGGGAGTGCCTAATGTCTGTGCCTCCATCACAATGAGGCTTTCATCACTCAGACTTCAAAGAACAGAAAAGCTGGCCCTCTCAGATGCTGTTGGGGAAATCTGATAATATGGTTCAACTACCTTCTACCCAATGATTCCACATCTGAGAATTTATCCTAAGAAAATATTATAAATTCAGAAAAGCTTTTCATGTACAAAGATGGGCATCACATTATTTTTAACAGTAGAAATCTATAAACCACTTACATATCCAACATGAGTAACTCAGGTGAATGAAATCCACACAATGAAATACAGCACTATTTTTTTTTTTAACCATATAATGAAATGATACTTTTAAAATCTTAAATTTTAAAAATAACCTAAATTGTTTGTAAACTTGTCACAACTACATAAAAATAGAGTAAAAAGGACCCATACAAAGATACAAACAGTGATTGCCTCTAGATGGTGGAATTGTGAGTGAACTTTTTCTTCTTTATATGCTCTATGCTTTAAAGGCTGATGGTGTAGGGTGAAGAAATAGCTTCAACCAGTGGGATTTTCTACTGGCCGCTGGGATTCCATATTCAGGTATTCATTAAGGAGTTTTCTTAAGAAACCTGCATTTTTCCTGGGCTGTAAGATTTGAATTCAGTTTCTGGGACATCATGAATTTGGAAAACAAATGTTTAGAGAAAGGTCTTAGAAAAATGCAGTGGATGGCCTGCCTTGTGTTTAGGATGTAGGCAGTTTAAAAAGACACATTCAGAATATTTGGTCACCCCAAACACAGACTGTCCTATATCTGGAAAGTATATTTGCTGCCACAAGAAGATTCTTTACCTTCCGGCAGCAAATAGCACTGTGCCCAAGATTTTTTTCACCCTACAGTTTTCCTTCTAACAGTGGAAGAAATGCCTGGATAGCACATCTAATGATCATGCCAACCAGACATACTAGGAGAGGAAGCATGAATACGAGGAAAGGACAAGAGGGGAAACCAGCCCTCATTATCACCTGGGGATGCATGCAAATCTTCAACCTCAGGAAAATTCTCTTTCCAGAAATTCTGGAAATTTCTCTTTGCTCTATGTAAAGGGCAGAATTTTAATGACCCAGGAGTGATTCACCAAATCAACATAAAGGGTTGCAACCAGAAATTTTTTTAATAAGTAGAAAATAAAATGCATTATCTTGCTGTTAGGTAGAAGATTTGAAAAACACAGAAGCATCATTTAATGATACTAATGATACTAATGATCAGCACACTCTAAACAGATTTTTAGTGAATATAGAATATTTTTATTCCCATTACTTTTGTATATTACCTGAGTAATATGCTCACTAATCCTCATTTAAAAAGGTATAATCTAAATCTAAGTTTATATTCTTGGAAGCACAGTATCTCCGCAGGGTCGAAAGGTATCTTGTAGACATTCGGACCCAGTAGTTACTCTTTTTCAGAACTCTATTAGGAAAAAGGAGTAGGCGAAATGGATTCTAAGGTCTGTTTGCTGCCCTCCAATTAGAGCTGCTTCCCTTCCCTGCTTGATAGGCAGAGTTCTGTGTGACATTACGTTAGACATAGTTAAGTCTGAAAAAACTGATATTAATACTCCAACTTATAGATGGGAAGCTAAGTTCTATATAAGCAAGAGAATTCTGAATCCTCAAGGCTGAACCTGGAAGCTGGTTCTCATGGCCCATGGCTCATCCTTCCACCACCACATTCATGTGGATTCAGTATGAATTCATATTTTGTGGGCAGGCATCATCACAGGGCAAGGCCCAACAAAAGAAACACAAAAAAAGGGTCTCAACCTATAGAAGCAGTTAACTAAGTCCCATCTGGTGTCTCATCAGTTAACATATTCTTTAACATGCTCTTTTTATATAAACATAAAACAGCATACAATCAATCATATCATAGCAACTGTTAAGGTTAACTCTGCTTTTCCCCCTCCCTATTTCTTAATTAATTTCTCTCATTAGAAAGTAATATTCACTTGATATCTTGGGGCATATGGGAGTTTAAAGGAGAGCTCTTCCTCTTCTCCAAGTTAAGAAACAAAATGCCACTGGTAAGCAAACAACAAGGGACGAAACAATGAAATTTAAACTCCCAGGGAGAACTAGTACATCTTTTAGAAACAAATTTCTCAGCAGAAAAAAAACTGGAGAAAACCTACTTTACATTAAACAAAATAAATGCATAGCCAATTTCAGAAGATTGGATTGAGTTGTAATGAAAGAAACAAAGATTCATTTGTGTTTCTTTTTACTAGTCAATGAAAAGCGGGTTCTTGTTTTATGAAGATTGTTTTCTCAAGCTGATTTCTCCATATAGTCATATATATTTTAAGGTTACTTTTTTAAATATCCTTACCTTCCAAAAAAAGACTTCAAATGGGGTATATGGGAGAGGGTACAGAAATGGCTGATGTATATCTTTGTTTGCATGTTAAGAAACAATTATCGATAATCTGAAGATTGCTCAAGAAAAACAATATATATTCAGTATTATCTACAAGAATTTCATGTATCCCTGGATTTTTGGGGGGACTGAGAAGCCTCAGTTCTTCTTTGTAAGCAGCATTATGTGCTTTTTAATGTCTAGTATGGTCCTAGGTTCAGTCAAATCACTGCAAGGATTTGATTCCTGCAATCATTTTGTGTTAAATGAATAAAAGTCCCAGGTCTCCACGGAGTTCTCAAGTCACTATGCTGCACACTTGG